CGCTGCAAGAACACATTCAGACAATCAAAGAAATCTTCAAAATCTTGGAAGAGAAAAATCTTAAGATCCAAATAGATAAATGCAATTTTATGAAAAGGGAAACAGAATTTCTTGGGCATATTTTGACAAAGGAAGGAATTAAACCCAATCCCAATAAAATAGCTATTATAGAAAAATTAGTACTACCACGGACAGAAAAACAGATAAAAAGTTTCCTAGGTATAACTGGATATTACAGAAAATTTATTAAGGATTATGCTAAAGTAGCGCAACCTATAACAAAATATTTAAAGAAAAATGTGAAAATAAACCCAAAAGATCCAACTTATGTAGAAGCATTTGAAAAATTAAAACATATGATCAGTTCACACCCCATACTTAGATTTCCCAATTTTGAGAAAACATTTGCACTTACGACTGATGCGTCGAATTATGCAATAGGTGCGGTATTATCACAAGAGGGCCACCCAATTTGTTTTGCATCCAGAACACTTAATACGCATGAAAGAAATTATTCAGCTACCGATAAAGAATTTTTGGCAATCCTTTGGAGCGTGAATTATCTTAGACCGTATTTGTATGGAAGGAAATTTAAGATACTGACAGATCATCAGCCTATAAAATTTTTGCATTCGAAACATAAAGGGAAAGATATCTCACCTAGACATCAAAGATGGTTATTAAAACTAGGAGAATACCAATTCGAGATTGACTACTTAAAAGGAAAGGAAAATAGAGTAGCCGATTTCTTGAGCAGACTCGATGACAATGACTACCTCATTCAGAACAAAAATGACACACTGGACGAAAAAAACGATAACATGTCAGAAATAAATATAATCGCAAACTTAGAAGACAAAGAAGATAATTCGTCAAACGCGACAATACACTCAGCTGAAGAAAACCTTCACAATCATTTTTTCATAAAGGAGGAAATAGTTAATAAATACAGAACACAAATAATAATTACAAATTGTAAAACAGAAGAATTTAAAACAATAAAAGATAAAAAAATAATTTTTATAGCTAAACATGATTTTCCAACGATGGGAGAGATTTTTAAGAAATATATAGGCAAAGGAAGAATTGGAATTTACTCGTATCTACCATACCACGAATACAATATAGTACAGGAAAAATTAATAGAAATGTTTTCAAATGACAAACAAATAGAATTCATTAAATGCACGCTTAGAGCTCAGGACATGGAATCTGAAACAGAAGCAGTCAAACAAATATCGTTTTACCATGTAAAAGAAAGTATGCATTCAGGCATTCAGGAAACATACAACCAATTAAAAAGTAGAATATACTATCCAAAATTACTAGAATTGGTGCAAATGGTTATAAACCAATGTGATTTGTGCAAAGAAATAAAATACGATAGAAATCCTATAAAGAACAAATTCAAAAAAACCGAAACTCCATCAGATAAGAATCAAATTGTTCATATAGACACATACGTAGTAAGAAATACACATTTCTTAACAATTATAGACAAATTTACCAAGTTCGCAGCAGCATATTCACTAAATGATCGAAATCATATGACCATAGTAGAACAACTAGAAGAGCATTTCACAAAGCTAGGTAAACCAGATAAAATCATAGCGGACAACGAATTCAATTCGATCAGAATTAAAGAATTATTAATGCAAGAAAGAATAGAATTACATCTAACTAAACCAAATAGTCACACGGGAAATTCTGACATAGAAAGGTTACACAATTCATTAGCAGAAAATCTTAGGGTAACACTAAAAACAGAAACATTAAACATGACAATAAAACAGTTATTGCAAAAGGCAATTAGAAATTACAATGACAGATATCACTCTACAATCAAATGCACTCCCAACGAAGCTCAGAATAATAAAGTAGAATTGACAAAAATTAAAGAAAATATTGAAAATGCTAAGGAGAAAATGTTAGAAAAGAAGGATTTATAAAAAATTACAAGGCAGTCAGACACAAAGAAGTTCCAAAATATAAAAAGGCAAAACTTAAAGGTATTGACCCAAAGAATATTAAACGAGCTTACAAATTTACAGAAAACGCTGATGACGACAATATTAATGCTGTTAACAATAACGACAATATCAGGAACATTGACGACTCAACAGATACTTGACCAAGACGGATACGCACTAATAGATATAAAAGACCAAGCTATAGTAACGACTACAGACATAATAGTTCACATAATTAATTTAAAAGACGTTGACGACACGTTAGGTGATCTAGAAACCAACATACAAATGTTAAACAACGACAACAAACATATATTAGAGACAAAACTAACAGAGACAAAACATAAACTATACACATTATATGATAACCATACACGTAAAAGAAGAGGACTGGTTAATGCAGTAGGCAGTGGAGCAAAATGGTTGTTTGGAACAATAGACGAAGAAGACAGAAAAGTTATAGAAAATCACTTATCAAATTTCAAGGAAAACATGCAAGAAACCAATGAGTTAGTAAACAAACAAATTTATATTAACACATATTTCAACGATACAATCAGCCACATAAGGTATTTAATCCAATCAGACAGGAGAGCTATAGAAAGTCAGTTAAGTTCAATTAACAAATATGAAAATACAAGAAATCAGGAGAACCTATATTATGACCAACAAATAAAAATTCAATTAATAAGAAATAAAATAGAACATTTACAAGACAATGTTGCATCCGCCAGATACAATATCTTACACCCCAGCATATTGACAGATAATGAGATCACAAAATATAATATTACCTTCAACAAACTAAATAATCTCAAGCTAGCTACAGCAGTTTTGAAAAATTATCTATTAATATTCGCTATCGAAATTCCTACAAACTTTATTACAATAAAAACTCAACAAATAATTCCCGTACCTAATAATGAAAATTTTGAAATAGATCACAAGTCCGAAGTTATATTTAAATATAAAAACATTACATACACATACGAAAGTAATAAAAAATTAAAAGAAATGAAAAACAGCAAGCATTGTATAATTAAAAACAATTGTAAACTAATAAAAAGTAAAGAGATGGAAATAATAGAACTAGACGAGGAAACCATAGTAATAAATAATGCGAATAACGAAACATTATATCAAAATTGTAACAACAAAACAATACAAATTGTAAATAACACCTTAATACATTTTGTAAATTGTACAATAGGTATAGATAATAATTATTTTACCAACACTGTCGAAGAAGAAAATGAAAAAATATTATTCGAAAAAAAAGGAACAAATCCAAAATTTTACAAAACAAATTACTTTTGAAAGCATATTAGAAAACAATAAAATAAACTGGGTAAACATTAAACAATTAAAGACACACAAAGATATTATCTACTCCTTTAATGCCGCTGTAATTGTATTAATAATCATATTAACAACCCTGAATGTATTAAAACACAAAAAAATTAAAATTCAACTGAACAGTAATAGAATTCAGGAGAATTCTTTTCTAAAGGGGGGAGAAGTTATGTACAGATCCACTTCACTCCCAGTCCATAATACACAAACAAAACCAATTAGCCAGACAGTTCAAGAGTTATTGGACTCTATAAATGTAAAGTAAGCAATTTCGCGACACGAGTTAATAAACTCATGTAAGCATCAGGTTTCACAATCGTAACCTAATTTCATCGCCCTTTAGTAAACAATTTCGCGACATGAGTTATTAAACTCTTGTAAGCTTCCGGGTTCATAACGAAACCACCGACATGTAGAATAAGTCTGATCAGCATGTTTCGCAATCATATAGAATAAGCTAATTCATGTTAAGTACACCAACACCAACCAATTGTAACCCAAATGTAAAACCTTTAAATACGACTTCTGAATAAAGACAAATCAGTTATGATTCGCCACTGAAAAACTAAACGTGTTCGTATTTATTTATTTTTTTATTAAAACCCGTCCCGCAGTACAAAATTCGCGGCTCTGTGGGATACCGTTTATGAACGAATTTGAGAACTTCTGTAATATTGACAGCAATTTATCTTTATCTGGTCCATGCAAATCGGTATCAACATCAGTCAGGTCAGGAGTACATTCGGAGACTACGACAGGTAATATAGACTTTTCATTAAATATAGTAAGCGCGTTTGATGTAATTGTCACGCCAATGCCCTGGCTCAAAATTTCGCGACCAATCAGAGCGTCATATTTGATATGATTAGATTATCTAAAACTACGTGAAATAAAATTTCAAACGAACGCTCACAAATCAAAACATTTGCAATAATCTGTAAAGTGCTACAAACTGAGTTACCACCTATACCCCTTAATGTCACTACGTTGTTTATTCTAGTCCCTGATAATCTCAGTGATGCCGTCTCTTTGATGAGTGAGCACTCGGCTCCGGAGTCGAAGCAAAATTGGAACGACTCACCAAACTGCCGCAACGTTCCTAAGGGCTCGAGTACGGTGCATATGTTCACGTTTTTGATATTGCTGTTGGTCGGCGGGCGCTCCTGACGATCCGGACAGACCGTAGATACATGTCCAGCTTTTCCACATTTGTAGCAGATGACGGATGATCGATCTCTTCCTCCAGTGTATCCAGATTGTTGATGACGAGGCTGCGGACGCTGAGTCGTCTCTTTGTTGAAGTGACATTCCGCCTTCTTGTGGCTGGGTTTGCCACAGTTGTGACACGTGATGTTAAACATGGGTCTGAATCTTTTCCCTTGTGGTGCTGGTGCGTTGTCACTCGAATGCTGGCTCTGTCTGGCGTCAAACGAAAAAGCTTTGAGTTCCTGATGAAGCTCGTTTCTGGTTTTGATGTCCGTTGTAAAAACCAAACGGCGCAACCGTTTATCTATCCCAGCTGCATGTGCCAACGTGACGGATACTGCAATCTGCTCGACGCTGAGCGACTTCTAGCGGGCCATTAGTGAGGTGACCATTCTGCTCCCATACAACGACAAGCACTCTCCTTCATTTGGGCGTGCGTTTAGCAAATTCATGACAGTCGCGGCCAAAGTCTCAGTTCCGGAAAAATATTGCAAAAATAATTCTCGAAACTGCGTCCATGAAATGCCGGGAAAACATGTCTGCGAGAGCCAGTGAGATGCCTTCCAATGAGTTGCTGAGGGCCATTACGAGAGCGCTGCCCTCCAGCTGGTTTTCAGACAAAATGTAGTCGACAGTCGAACACCAGGACAGTGCGTTTGATCCTGCACGATCAGGGTTGAACTTTGGCAGTACGATGGTTTTGGTGTCTTTTGGTTCATGTTGAGAGCGCTGTACTTCTTTTATCAACTCGACGAAATTACGGTTTTGCAGCTCCAGAATTGTAAAAAGATTTGCATCGTTGGTTGGTGGCGGAGGTAATCCCACTTCTGATGACGAGGATCCACCATCGGAGTCCTCATCTAGACTTTCGGCGTAACGTTTCCTGGCGCGTGGCATGATTCTTCAATTATTCAACCAGTCTGCTTGCCACTCAAAAACGCTGTGTCATTCATTTTCAACTCCTTTTCACCTTGCAACACACACGCAGGTGTGGTGAGTTCTCAGAAAACAATATCCGTCTCTTTCATACCCACGCCCAGGCTACGTTGGCAAAACAGTGTATGCCACGCACGAAAGAAGCAATAATAAATGAAACAAGTGTGTACCCACAAAATCGTTATAATTTGAATTATCAAAGTAATCTGCGACATATATATATATATATATATATATTTATATCTATACATATATATCTATACATATATATGTATATATATGTATATATACATATGTATGTATATAAAATAATTAGGGGGCTTGTGTCACACAACTATACATCCTGAAAATTTTATTTCGGACCACCCTCCTAGGAAGGTATATAACAACAAAATCACGTATGCAGAATTGCAGCATAATAAATTCTGCTTTAAATCAGAGGTGTCGTATAATTGTGGGCAAGAGTGTATATATAAATTTTTAATTTTATTTGTTTGATAATATATTTATACATATTATATATATACATATTATATATACATATTATATATATACATATTTGTTGGGATTTTCCCCCCAACGCAGGTGCATGAGTATCCGGATTAAATAAGTACACTTAAGCCTTTTCGGATTAATACATATACATAAGTTTATTATATATTGAATGGAGAACAAAAGAATGGCACGCAAGATCGACTGCTCTTGAAAACACGCCGCGCAAGACTGAAATCAAAAGTGTGGCCAGTTGAGGATAATATGCTGGCCAAAACGGTCCTCAGATGAAGTTACCAGATTGGTACTTTGGATGAGGCGCTTAATTCGAACAATATTATATATATACATATTATATATATACATATTATATATATACATATTATATATATACATATTATATATATACATATTATATATATACTCCATATTACATATATGTATATTACTATATGTATATTTGATTTAATCCATTTTCTTTATATCGAATATTGCCTGATAATTAAAAATGGAAATATGAAGCGTTAACATAAAGTTTTAGTGTTCTAAGATAATTCCTTAACGTTTAACTGTTTGCAACTGCAAAAAAAAAAAACTATTTTTATACATTTCATATTTATATGAACATCTTTAAAGTCTGCTGCAGCAAATATACAAATACATACCTGTTCAATATCAATCGCCCATCACTTTAAACAGGTACATTATTTATATAGTTATTAGTGTTTAACCTTTATCGCCAAAAACTAATACTTTCGATCCCGGAAAAACCCAGGGTGAATATCTTAAATCATTGCTGTAGATTTATAAATCATCAACTGTCATATGTAATATCTCTAGCTAAACATATGAACTATCGTATTATTATTAGTTTATTAAAATATTATTCCCTTTTTTTATATCAAAAAGCACTCAATCAGCCCCTCCCTAAACATACATTTAATAAAGTGCTAAGTGTGAAATATAGGAACAAGAAACACGGCTGTTTTTATAAATATTATTTTCGAAATAACACATAAAAATTACAATTTTGTACACAGTAGCAACTGAGAATAATTGAAATTAGTAAATCAATGTTAACTAAATAAAAGATAACAAAAACTTTTGGGATATATACAGTACATTAGGGTTGCCACAGAATTTTATTTGAAACAAATATATAAAATATAATCACCACTGTCTTTTATATGATTTTTAGTGGCAACCCATTCTATAAATATAGTATATATCTGAAGGTAACATTTTAAATTCGCTAATTAAAAAGTCAATAACCAAACACACACACATTTATTTTCGTCCATGTCGATAGTGCGAGTTTAATTAAATGAAATTTGAAATTTTAATGAAAGCTATAGATGTAAAGGGGAATCAGTAATTGTTAGCTAATTATTTATATTAATTTAAAAAAAATACTTGTCTAAGCTTGCCAATACATTAAAAAAATAATATTCACAAATTCTTACCGGTACTGAAATCTGCTCGGTTTGCACGCAAGGAGGTTTTTTTTTTTATAATATGTAATTCAAATATTTATTTATAGTTTTATCATTTTATTTTTTTTTTTTAGATATTTTGTTTTATTTTTTTTATTTAATATGTTTATGATTTGAATATTTGTTATACATTTATTAATTTAATTTTGGTTGAATCAATCGGGAATGTTTTAGCATTAGCAATTAGAATAGTTAAAAGGACGAGATAGTACATAAAATTAATAAATATAAGGTTTATTGGACTTGCTTTTTCTTGCATGTTATATTCTTTGCTTTAATGAATAAGTACGTTTTTAAGGTCTTAAGCTTTTGTATACACTCTCCCTTCCAATGACTTTTATTCAAAAATAATGTTTGTGATTTTTCCAAGTTATTAAAAAAACTACAAATCTAATACTATTCAAATTGATAATAACCAATTTTGTATAGTCTTTAAAGATATAATAATATATTTTATGGTCTTCAAAATATAATAATATACTTAAAATAAAAACAAAACTATAATGGCCTTTCAAGCTTAAATAATTTAATTTTTGGTATTGTAATAACGATTTTATTAATTGCCTTTGAGGATAGTATAGTACAAATAATTTGTTCCTTTAAAATCTCTGAAATTCAGGGAAACAAAGCTTATAACCTTTTTCTATTTTTCATCGAACTTTTTTATACTTTTTTCGGTCAGGGGTTTTGGACCTTGTTAAACATTGGAAAATTCTTATTTCGAGTTGTTATTTACTCAAACTTTTAATTGGCTTTTTCTGGGCTGTCATAGGTATTTATATGTTTAGATATGAAAGAGTATATACTTTTCGGTTTACCGAAACCATATCTTGAATGAGATAAAAAAGTAAATAAATAAAATTAGAAACATCCAGGTTTTGTGTTAATAAAAAAAATAAAACAATGTAAATATACCTTAGTAATTATTGTTATTAAAAACCAAAACTAGGGAGATCAATAAATCTATTCTATGTTAGAGGAGAGCTCGCAAATAACTTTTGAGTGTAGGCGCTCTGGCTCAATGTATTACAATAAAAATAAATAAATAAATAAAAATAAATAAATAAAATAAATTGTATTCTTTATTAAAATAAAAATTAAATAAATAAATAATAACTGTCGTGTGTAGTGATTAATTATACAGGTTGACAAGAAAAAATACGGAGGCTAAACGCAAATAATTCTGTAAAGGATTTATTTGTACATATCGAAATTGAAAAGTTTCGGTCATAAAATAACAAACAACTTGTTTTGACACATTTTAACGCCTCATGAAACGTAAACCGTGTGCATAGAAAAAATTTGAAATTTTTATTATTTTAATTATATTTAGTTTATTCTAATTTTTATTATGAAATTAACAACTTACAAAGTAAACAATTTAAAGCTGTTTTTATTTCCTTCCTGTGTCCCAAGAACACATTTTTAATGAGTTATTATTAAAGAAGTGTTATTATTAAAGAAGTGTATATGAATACGAGCTTTCTCCTAACATATTTATTCTGTTAAATGGTGAAAACAATGTAAAAGGTATGGATGTGCATAGAAATTTGGGTATTGCCTACATTATATGGTAGATTTGGTATAGCTCTAATTTGTAATTTTTCAAAAGCTCTCCTTGCAAAAAATGCAACAAAAAATAAACCTCTCCTATTCTTAAATATTCTAATAAATTGATTTATTTAAAACCGCTTAACAACGTAGGAAGGTTATAAACAATAAATGCTATGTTTTATATATAAGCAGACAAAAAAAATACACTCATAAAGAGAGGATATATATTATAGAAAGAGAGTCAAGAGAGCCAGAGGAAAATAGGAATAGACTAAGTAGATATTAGAGAAAGAGAGCTTAACACCAAGATATGTTTCTATATCTAAGTTTATATATAATCCGATCTACAGAAAATCTAAAAAAAGAGAGCAACAAGGAATTCGTACTTCCGAATTATGATAACACCTCCAATATATAAAATTCGTTCACAGGCAAATTTATTTACATACATTCATAGGACGCCAATAGGGGTTTCCTCTCTTCGGCTTTTGCCGAATATATAAAAACCTTGGTTTTTTTATTATTATTTTTAAGACGGATTTTTTCTTCAAACACTTTCATGCCTTTTCGGATATCTATATAGTCTCTTCTCTTTCAATTTATAATCTCTAAGCTCCTAATCTCTTTTAAATAAATTTAAAATAATCTTAATAACAGTGTTTCCACAGGCATCTCATAAATTAACAAATAAAATTGTACAAAATAATACAAAAAATATATATATTAACCGAAGTTAAAGTATTAATAAGAAAAGCAGTTTTTTAAAGACCTGGTGCATGCGAAACCAGAAAAACGATGACCAGTTTTGGACTTTTGCTTCTAGTTAATCAAACTGTGACTCGATTTATAATCGATTTAATATAAAGACGCACTGTTCTTCTTTACCAACAATAAATAAAATATATATTAGTTATGTCAAAATGTATGATCGAATGTTTAAAAATTAAATGGATAAATTAAACCAAAATAAAAATATAAACTTAAGCAAATATATATGTATATACCATAAACCCATTAAAAATGTTATCATCCTCCCAATGTGTAGGTTCATACTACTTGATTGATATTTCAAATAAAACGACGATACTACGGAACTTACTTGAGTTTGCAATCGTGTTAAGCCACGAATCCATAAAATCTGTCCAGCTCTCGGCTTCTTATCCGAATCAATTGAATCGAAACGCTCCTCTCCCAAATTCATGGCATCTGTATATTCCTCGGGATGTCCACGCCCCCATCTGTAATATATATTTTATCGACAATAATAACATCAATAAATAATTATAACAAGAAACAAAGCTAGTTTCGGCCCGTTTGTAATTGCAGTTTGCATAGGATCATTAAGAATCGATTCATTTTGGTCAATAATGAATAGAAAAATTGAAAGATATATGTATATTCATACATAGCATAAAATTGTTTATTTTTGATAAAATTTAAAAACCTTATTTTTATATGGTAATATGTAATATGTAATATGTAATATGTAATATGTAATATGTAATATGTAATATGTAATATGTAATATGTAATATGTATATGTAATATGTAATATGTAATATGTAATATGTAATATGTAATATGTAATATGTAATATGTAATATGTAATATGTAATATGTAATATGTAATATGTAATATGTAATATGTAATATGTAATATGTAATATGTAATATGTAATATGTAATATGTAATATGTAATATGTAATATGTAATATGTAATATGTAATATGTAATATGTAATATGTAATATGTAATATGTAATATGTAATATGTAATATGTAATATGTAATATGTAATATGTAATATGTAATATGTAATATGTAATATGTAATATGTAATATGTAATATGTAATATGTAATATGTAATATGTAATATGTAATATGTAATATGTAATATGTAATATGTAATATGTAATATGTAATATGTAATATGTAATATGTAATATGTAATATGTAATATGTAATATGTAATATGTAATATGTAATATGTAATATGTAATATGTAATATGTAATATGTAATATGTAATATGTAATATGTAATATGTAATATGTAATATGTAATATGTAATATGTAATATGTAATATGTAATATGTAATATGTAATATGTAATATGTAATATGTAATATGTAATATGTAATATGTAATATGTAATATGTAATATGTAATATGTAATATGTAATATGTAATATGTAATATGTAATATGTAATATGTAATATGTAATATGTAATATGTAATATGTAATATGTAATATGTAATATGTAATATGTAATATGTAATATGTAATATGTAATATGTAATATGTAATATGTAATATGTAATATGTAATATGTAATATGTAATATGTAATATGTAATATGTAATATGTAATATGTAATATGTAATATGTAATATGTAATATGTAATATGTAATATGTAATATGTAATATGTAATATGTAATATGTAATATGTAATATGTAATATGTATATATGTAATATGTAATATGTAATATGTAATATGTAATATGTAATATGTAATATGTAATATGTAATATGTAATATGTAATATGTAATATGTAATATGTAATATGTAATATGTAATATGTAATATGTAATATGTAATATGTAATATGTAATATGTAATATGTAATATGTAATATGTAATATGTAATATGTAATATGTAATATGTAATATGTAATATGTAATATGTAATATGTAATATGTAATATGTAATATGTAATATGTAATATGTAATATGTAATATGTAATATGTAATATGTAATATGTAATATGTAATATGTAATATGTAATATGTAATATGTAATATGTAATATGTAATATGTAATATGTAATATGTAATATGTAATATGTAATATGTAATATGTAATATCTAATATCTAATATCTAATATCTAATATCTAATATCTAATATCTAATATCTAATATCTAATATCTAATATCTAATATCTAATATCTAATATCTAATATCTAATATCTAATATCTAATATCTAATATCTAATATCTAATATCTAATATCTAATATCTAATATCTAATATCTAATATCTAATATCTAATATCTAATATCTAATATCTAATATCTAATATCTAATATCTAATATCTAATATCTAATATCTAATATCTAATATCTAATATCTAATATCTAATATCTAATATCTAATATCTAATATCTAATATCTAATATCTAATATCTAATATCTAATATCTAATATCTAATATCTAATATCTAATATCTAATATCTAATATCTAATATCTAATATCTAATATCTAATATCTAATATCTAATATCTAATATCTAATATCTAATATCTAATATCTAATATCTAATATCTAATATGTAATATCTAGTATCTAATATCTAATATCTAATATCTAATATCTAATATCTAATATCTAATATCTAATATCTAATATCTAATATCTAATATCTAATATCTAATATCTAATATCTAATATCTAATATCTAATATCTAATATCTAATATCTAATATCTAATATCTAATATCTAATATCTAATATCTAATATCTAATATCTAATATCTAATATCTAATATCTAATATCTAATATCTAATATCTAATATCTAATATCTAATATCTAATATCTAATATCTAATATCTAATATCTAATATCTAATATCTAATATCTAATATGTAATATCTGCAAGGGTATACAAACTTCGGCGTGCCGAAGTTAGCTTCTTTTCTTGTTTTATATAATTTATATATACATATATATTAATTGGCTTACTTGCATTAATAAAATTGTATAATTAATTAAAATACTTATCATATACTTACACTTGGGGAAGACCTTTGCTATATATTACCTTAAATGACCAGAGTTGGCCAAATCGTATAATACGACAAAGTTTAATGTTTGTTATTTATACATATTTACACTAACGTAGATTGTTGTGGTTCAATTCTTTGAGAAAGACTGCGTCAGACCATAATATATTTGTTTAATTATACATAAAATCTAAAATACTGAATTATAGTGTACTATTTTTTTAAATTTAACATATACAGTAAAAGCAATACATATCAATTTTTAATTTAACATAAACAATTAAATACAAGTTATAATTACAGATTGGAATTTTGCCTTATTTCATATTTTTAAGTATTAATTAAGTTAAAATATCCAAAAAGTTACGTAATTTACCGAGTAGCAATTGTGTTTTTTAAGCGTAATAGCAAACATTTACTCACGATAATATTTTAGGTAATTTTCGAGTAGGCACTGAGGTTATAAGTTGTCCCCAAACCAGGGTGCCAATGCCAAAGAATATACACCATAGCCATTGATCCAGCGACAAAGCCTTGGTTGAGAATGCCATTTCTCCATATTGTATAATTAATACCTAAAAAAAAAATGTAATATATTTTAAAACAAGAAAGGAAGCTAACTTCGGCACACCGAAGTTTGTATACCCTTGCAGATTGGTTTTTATGTTTATATTATAAATTTAAATGCTGAAAACACTCACAAAACAGAGTTTCATTACATTTTACCTATACTTATTATGTTTACAGTTTGACTGTTACAGTTTTACATTCCCAGCTTTACATTTTCTCTACATTTACCGATCGTTTATATGGCAGCTATATGATATAGTCCGATTTTCATAAAATTTTTAACAAAATTCTGAAATAATAAAAGAAGCTTACATCTAAAAGTAGATAAGAATATGTTGAAAAACAACGAAGTTATAATTTTTTTCCTATTCATTTTCCGATCGTTCCTATGGCAGCTATAAGATATAGTCGTCCGATTTTCATAACATTTTTACCAAAATTCTGGAATAATATATCTCAAAAACGATGCAAAAATATTGAAAAACAGCAAAGTTATAATTTTTTTTCTAAAAATTTATCGAACATTTGTATGGGAGCTATATGATATAGTCGTACGTTCCGACATATATAGCAGTGAGAGTATATAGAAGACTATATGCTAAGTTTCATTCAGATAGCTTTAAAACTGAGGGACTAGTTTGCGTAGAAACGGACAGACGGACGGACGGACAGACTGACATGGCTAGATCGACTCGGCTGTTGATGCTGATCAAGAATATATATACTTTATAGGGTCGGAAACGTCTCCTTCACTGCGTTGCAAACTTCTGACTGAAGTATATATATTAAGTACCCTGCAAGGGTATAAAAAGCTACAGTCCAGTAGAGTCGACTGTAAGATACCTCGTAAACAATATATTGCGCGTTAATAAAGTATTGTCTAAAATTTTACATATAATTTTTTTGTACCGAATTTCAGTTAGTACCTTTCTTTCAGTAAAATTCATAAGTAATTCATCAACGTACTTGTCGTTGTTGTCTTATTATCCGTGACGTTCTATTCCAAATTACGTATGAAATTAACATTGGCATGTCCTAGGATGTCATCAGTGACAAAATCACCAAAAATCAATCGATGAATTAATTAAAATAATTTCCTGCAAATGCTGTTATGACACTATTGCATTAATTAGAGGATTCATTAAGGGGGGGTAAGGTTAATTCGATGCAAAAATGCCCACTTTTCAAAAAAATGTGAAACGACTAAAGTTAGCTTAATGAATTAAATACCATTTAATAGAACATTTGAACAATTTTTGATAAATTTTGTATTGAGAAATATTTAGAGGTATAGGAGTTATACCTCATTCGGTAAAGGATAATTGTCCCGAGGTATTCACGAAGCATTTTTATTTTTTTAATTTTTCCCGATTTTTTATAAAAATTGGAAGTCAAAACCCCAATTTTTGACAAAAAAAAATTAAGTTAATTAGTTAAATAAAAAATATAATAAAAATAAAAATTAAAAAAAGCTCGACGTGAGTACCTGTAGAATTACCTAAAGAAGTTATTTTCCAAATTTCAAACCAATTGGTTCAGTAAATTTTGAGTTATCGTGTACACCGATTTTCAAAATGGCATTTTTCAGGAGAGCGCTTTAAACTTTGTGATTCTCATGCATTGAACACCAGACAACCTTCGTTCAACTCTGCATAAATTCGTCAATTCTCATATGATCGATGTAAAACTTGGACACAATATTCTTAAGATATTGAGCCTTTAAAATAAAAAATACAACAAAAAATTAGGAAAAAAAATTAAAGATTCGACGGAACGATATAGTTTTACCTAAGTGCGAGCAGGATGACTATACATCACTTTCAATGAAACTTCTATGACATTGGTATTGCATTAGCTAAAAAAATCGATAGATCTACAAAGTAAAAAGTCAATGTCGACACGTTACTAAATTTGACCAATTGAAAAGGAACATCTTGAAGTCAAAAATTAAACTAAAGGAAAATACATATAGCATAAGGAAAATACACAAAGAATAAGATATAGAAGATAGAAGGGAAAAATGTATTTACGAACCACAGCCTAGTGATGCAAGTTCGACAAAAAACATCGATGTCGATGCCCGTCGATATTTTCAAAATAGACCATCGATGTATATACTTAGCAAACAGACCTTCAGGTCTGTTGATGAAATGTTGATGAATTGCTGTTGATGACAGCCTAGGACATGCCCATGTTAAATTCATCAACAGTTTGTATGGCAATTCATCTATGATTCATTAACAACACCCCTACGAGTATTGATGAAACGTTGATGAAATGTTTATGAATGGTACTGCAGGGCATAGACTGAAAACCAAAGCAAACAGAAACGACGTCGGCGAGAGCGAAAATTTAACATTTTTGTCTGTTTTTCGCACGAGTAGAGCGTAGAGGAAAAAACTGTTAACACTTATTTGCAAGCTATGTTCAAAAGTACCCAAAAGCCGAATTTTTTCAACATTTAAGTTGAGTCTCAAAATCTAGAATAGGACATTTTCTAGGGCCGGATTACGAAACGTAAACCCAATTTATATATAACGCTAGAGTAGTTAAACGACATTTGTGAGTGTGTATAATTTGACAATATCTTAGGAAAAATAACTATATAAATTAACAAGCCGGTATTTTGGAGATTCAAAAAGATTTTTTCAAATTTATTGGCTCAACTAAGAATTTGTTTGATTTTAGAAGAAATTATAAAGTATAGTGTAAAGTGGTTTAGGGCGAAGGCGGGAACATAATAAAGCTCTCTCTCTCGCTCTTTGCGAATTCGCCCCTTCTTCGCCCCATTAGTTAAACTAGGCTCTGTGAAATATATTCGCAAAATTGAATTCATAACAAGCACACGCATTTGTCAATCTTCGTTTTCGCCGTTTGAAAATAAAATTATTTCTTGGCACCTAGTTATCGGTTTTGTTTCTAATAAACTGATTAGAAAATGCATGGCGCCCCCGTGTAGACAAAAATAAATAAATAATAAGAAAGGAAGCTAACTTCGGAACGTCGAAGTTTGTATACCCTTGCAGATTGGTTTTGATGTTTATATTATGGATTTAATTTCTGAAACCACACCACAAAACAGAATTTCATTACATTTTACTTATACTTATTATGTTTACAGTTTGGGAGTTACAGTTTTACATTCCCAGCTTTACATTTTCTCTACATCTACCGATCGCTTCTATGGCAGCTATATGATATAGTTGTCAGATTTTTATGAAATTTATACCAAAATTCTAAAATAATAAAAAAGCTCATATCTCAGAGTAGATGCAAATACGTTGAAAAACAAAGAAGCTAAAATGTTTTTTTCCTATTAATTTCCTGATCGCTTCTATGGCAGCAATAGGATATAGTCGTCCGAATTTCATAAAATTAAAACCAAAATTCTAAAACAATAAAAAATTATTAAAATATGTTAAAAAGGACAAAATTATAATTTTTTTCTAAAAATTTATCGAACATTTGTATGGCAGCTATATGATATAGTCGTCCGATCCGTCCGTTCCCACATATATAGCAGTGAGAGTATATAGAAGACAATATGCTAAGTTTCATTCAGATAGCTTTAAAACTGAGGGACTAGTTTGCGTAGAAACGGACAGACGGACGGACGAACGGACGGACGATTGAACGGACGGAGGGACGGACATGGGTAGATCGACTCAGCTGTTGATGCTGTTCAAGAATATATATACTTTATAGGGTCGGAAACGTCTAATTCACTGCGTTGCAAACTTCTGACTGAAATTATAATACCCTGCATAAAGAGGGAACAAATTAAAAGAAATAAAATACATAATAAAAGTGCAAACGCTTTTTCTCTGTGCTTGAAAAATTAAAACTTGTTGCCCGCGACGCGCTCTTTGTAATTTACTACTGTGGGCAAAAAGTAAGGTGAATTTTCAATTTAAAATTCGCGGGCTTAAAATGGAGGACTAGTTCTTTTTTCTTAAGTTGGCAGGACTGTTGATGACATCTGTCGGTAATTTCATGTCAATGTCAGTATCAGTACTATATTTACGCTTGTGGTCACCAAACGATCAAGAGTGCATTTATCGATTTTTAGCATGTTTGATTTAATTGAGCAGGGAAGTGCCATAAAATTTTGTTTGCGGAATTTCGGCTGCGGAAACGTTGAGGATGTTGCGGAAGGCCTTTGGTGATTCTACCATGTCCCTAAAAAATGTTTATAAGTGGTACAAAGACTTCAAATAGGGTCGGGAACGTGTTGATGACTTGGAGCGCTCCGGACGACCATCGACGTCATCAGATGACCAACACGTCAACGAAGTGAAGGAATTAGTGTTCAAAAATCGTCGGTTGACTGTTAGAGTCCTTACTGATATGATCGAAATATCAGAAGGAACTGTGAAAACCATTTGGAAAGACCATTTGGGCCTACGAAAAGTCAAATCTCGTTTGGTACCGAAAACGCTCAATATCTTCGTGACCATTTCGCCAAGAATTCGACGCATATCGTTCCGCAACCACCGTTCCTGATTTGGCTCCGTATGACTTCTTGCTATTCTCAAAACTCAACAGACCAATCCGGGGAACGCGTTTCGAGTTGATTGAGGAGATAAAAGCGGAATTTTCATTTTACAAACAAATTCACCTTACTTTTTGTAGTATGTACGTAGTATCATATACAAATCTTAGTGTCGGTCGCGAAATACCTTGCTATCACCGAGGGAAGTGTCAAAGAGGAAAGTGGCTGATGGCAGTATAACATATAGACCCAACGGAAATCAAAGGTATTTGTGCAAAGAATTGAAAGCTAGAGTGGAGGCAAATTTAATGTTTATTGTCTTGTGCTTAAATATTGCACCTCGCGAAGTATTAAAAATTGTAAGCAATCTAAAATCAAAACAAAGAAACGCATTGATATGCAGTTATGTACAAATACAATACATATTTGAGATCAGTTATATTTTCGCCTCCCATTCTACCCAACAAGCGGTCAGCAGCACAAAATACCCTGCAGTACCACATTTCATCAATAGGCCTATTCATCAACAATTCATCAACGCGCCGACTGCGACGTCGACAGAATCGACGCTCTGCCGACTGCTACTTGAACCCGAACTCCCTTCGGATACCCGAACTCCCTTCGAGTCCGATTTGTTGGTGCATGTCAAAAAAAAAAACAAAAACAATTTGCATGGGCTTCGTTTATTGAAGTCCGAAACAAACTAAGAAACGCAACTGTCCGAAAATTAGAGAGAGATGGTGATAGAGCGAAAGAAGGGGGAAAGAAATGTTCGGTCTTCGGCTTTCGGTTTCGTCTTGCTTCTTCTTATTCCCTTTGCATTACAAGTTGAAGTGTTCTCCACTGCAGAAGTGTCGTGTGTTAAAAATATTAAGAAATCAAATAATTCAATAATTACGTTCCGGGCCATATTGAAATATAAAAAAAGGTGAGTAAAAAGATTGTTCTTAATTAAATAGAAGCCTATAAATGTACATATAATATTTTATTTATTATATGTATATAATATATTAATATATTATATTTATATATGTATGTATGTATTTTCTTTTCAGACTGCAGTAATGGCCAATATATTGGGTAATTTTATTTAATTAAATTATATATTTTCCCTTGATTAATTATAATTTTTTCTGTAGATGCAATTTCCCAAGTGACTAAAACTGAGCCTCCAGAGAAGATACTGCGCAATAAATTTGGTCTTCATGAATAAAAAGCGGAACACCAAGAATCAAAAAGACCTTCAGGCCTCTTAATATATGGATGCTTAATCTTAATTTTTTATATTTGTGTTTTAGTTTTGTTATAGAATTAGTTAGAATAAATAATATTAATAAAAATTTAAGAGTTTTATTTTTATATATGAAAAAAAAATCATCAACAATTCATCGATGAATTGATGATGAAATGTTGATGAAAGGCTGATGAAATGTTGATGAATTGTTGATGATTCATCGATGAATTGTTGATTATTCATCAACAATTCATCAAGAATTCATCGATGAATCATCAACAATTCATCAACATTTCATCAGCCTTTCATCAGTAATTCATCAACAATTCATCGATGATTTGTTGATTAATTGTTGATGAATTGTTGTTGATGAATGCCTATGACATGCCCATGTTAAATTCATCAGTAATTTGTATGGCCATTCATCGATGAATCATCAACAACACCCCTTCGGCTATTGATGAAACGTTGATGAATTGTTGATGAATGGTACTGCAGGGTATAAAAATTAAATTTTTTGGTGCTTGCGCTTGCGCACACATTATTCACGCATACATACGCGCTTGAGTGTTCTTTTGTTCACTCATACAAGCAAGCGAATTCTATATTTAGATTTTTACGCTCTCAACTTTGTGAGAGCGGGAAAACGCGATTGTCGTTGCCATCAAAAATGAAACCTCAGCTTTAGTTAAGTAGCCAGTTAAGGTTTACCGTTGGCGAAATAAATAAATAATTATAGCAAAACGAATGTATGGACGTTACGCATCTTAATGACTTCTAATGTCTTTGATCCAACTACTCGCACGAGGAACCAAGTCCTAAACGATTTAAGTCGTTTGGAATTACTTGTCACATCTGTGGTCAACCTGGACAGGAAAAAGGCGAAATGCACAGTGAAGAAGCAGTCATCTTTTGAAGAAAATCGTGGAGCGAATCAAAGAATGGCACAGCGCATTAAGGCACACATCACTTGTTATCGTTGTCACGAACCTGGGCATATCGCAACCAAATGTCCTAAGAGACCTGCTGGAGAAGAATCTGGATCGGGATCACGCATACATAAGCGAGAAGAGAATTGTGTAGTAGAAGAACCAAAAGCATCCATGCTGCATATAAGATAGAAGTTCTTGTTTACTTGTAAGTACAATACAGATTTTAAGTAATGTAATGACTGATGGAAATTGTATCGAAATAATGTTTCACGTAGTTCATGGCGCATGTATGAAAAATGAAATTATAATTGGGCGTGGAATCTTGGCCTAGGGATTTTCTGCATTAGTGTAAAGGGGTAGAGTTAGTAGAAGATAAAACAAATAACTCATGTGTCGTATCTGACACCGAATATAACTTTAATACTGTAGAAACAGAATTGGTTAGCACAGAGAAAAATCAATTAATACAATTACTAAAAAATACTCAGGATCGTTTATTCCAGAGGCACTTGAGAGATTAGAGACCGTTTTCAAGATTTTGATAACAGCAAGCATATTTAATGTGGAAAAATGTTCCTTCTCGTAAGGCACAGAACAGTATTTAGGTTATGAAGTACAGGCTGGCGAGATCTGTCCCAATTGGCGTAAGATTAAAGCACTGGGTGCATTGCCTCCACCCAGGTCTATTACCATTTTAAGAAAATTCATTGGATTAGCTTCGTACTTTTGTCAGTTTGTGTCAAGATTTTCTCAATTAAAGAAGCCCCTATATTCTCTCACATCCGAAAAAATTAATTTTGTTTGGAAAAATGAACATGAAATTATTCGAAGTAAAATTGTTAAAATACTAACAAGCAAGCCAGCCTATAGAATTGCACACGGATGATAGTGCCATTGGCCTTTTGTTGTAGTCTCACTGAAGTATTAACACTACTAGCCCTTGTGAGTCAAAGTACACATCATATGATTTAGAAACACTCGCTATTGTCAATGCCGTTAAATATTTTTGACATTACCTGTATGGTAGAAAGTTTGTCCTTTTTACCGACTGTAACTCTTTGAGGGCGACTAGAGCGAAAATTGAATTATCACCCAAAGTACATCGTTTGTGAGAATTTTTTTGAATTTGACATTAAGTACCGTGAAGGAAAGCGCATGAGCCGATGTCGATTTTCTATCAAGAAATCCTTTGCCTAGCACGAGTAAAGAAATACAAAACAAAGTTATTAAAAAGCGAATAGAACATCACAGAAAATTGGATTCAAGCTGAACAGCAGCGAAATCAAGACAATGTGTGTACAATTAGAAAACTAAATGAAGGGGAACGTTGCACATAAATATCACCGGCAAATTAAGCGGCAAAAATTACCGTAAATAATATATCGTAGTGCAGATAAATGGGTACACAAAATATGTTCATCTGAATCATACATTGAAACTTGATTTAAATAGTTGTATAGAAGCGTTAAAGTCCTCAATTGCTTTGTTTAGAGTACCCAATCGATTGATAACTGATCAGGAACGAAGGTTTACGGATGGTAAATTTGTCGACTTCTGAAAGTCTCACAAAATCTTACACTTAAGGGTCCATTCTGGTTAGTTGGGCCAAAGAATAGGCAATTTTCAGAAATTTTTTGTGGACAAACGAAAAGACAGAAAGTTCAAACTTTACGACCATCCTGCAGGACGTAAAAATCGACTGAAACAAAAAATTCAAATATGTTCTTGTTTAGTGGTTGTGAATGTGGTTATGGAAGGGGTTTTTTTTTTTAAATTGAATAAAAAATAAGAAAATGGGGTTTTTTTGAAAAATTTCTCTACTTTTTTGTTGAATAAAAATCCAATGTTTAAGCTATCAATATAATTGTAGCCTATTCCATGGACACGTTAATTACGCGTATTTAAAAAAAAATCATTAAGATTCGTTAAAAATTGACTGAGATATTATGGTAACCAGCCCGAAAAATGTAGTTTTCCAGAAAACGCGTTTAAAGTTTTATGTTTGCTCTGTAACTGCTTTGAGTCGGCCGGTTCGGAGGCTCATAACTTTTAAACTATTACGTATTTCGATTTGATCTTTTAGTATGATATTCTACACACTTAAAGCTATCGAAAAATGAAAAAAAAAATCGATTTTTTTTTTCAACTAACCAGAATGGACCCTTAATAGCAACGGATGCTGGTCGTGCCAATGGTCAGCTCGAAAGAGTCATAAGTACTTTGAAAAATTTGTTGACAGTGGTGGAATCAAGTGAATAGTCTCGGCAGGACGCTTTAGGTGAATTCCTTTTGGAATTGTTTAGAACTAAAAGAATGGGACCACTGTATATGAAGTCGTCAGTGTGGCTCAGTGTTGCGTTGAGAGACAAAGATCACGAGATGAACAAGGCTAGTTGTCAATCGAGTGTTGTTGGATTTATAAATTGGAAGAAAACGCACACACTCAGACTCGCTCCGCTCGTACAATGGCTGACAATTTAAATCATCAAGGCAATATGAGCCTTCCGACATATGTATATACATTTACGGAACCGCCCCTGGAGGCAACATTTATTAATTATTTTGTATTGTAATTCTGCAATCACTGTCGCTCCCCTCACCTCTCTCTAGTTGAAATTCGCATTAACAGTTGGGAAGTTTTTGTTTTCGAGTTGTTGGGCCCTTTTTCGTTTGGAGCGATTGGATTAGCTTACCGCCAAGTGACGCGCTACCCTGTATTCGGCGAATATACCTTTAACATTGTTTATCAAAGACCAGCGTTAGGTTCTAATTTTTTAATCAATTATTTTTATATACTGAAGTAAACTTTATATAAAAAAAGCTTATCTTACCTGCGATATCATTGTGAATATCCAGATCGTACAAAATATGGGATTGGTAAAGAGTCCTTCAATAACATTTCGCTGACCATGAATTTTTCGGGCATTTATCTCATTGAACAATGTCATCATGACAAATGTGTTAAAGATAATAGTAAAGTGTTGTGTTGGGCCAGCATTCAGTTCTTGTCCGCGTCCTGATTCAATATCGAGTATTAAATCACCTGGAATTAATATTATTATTAGTATTATATGTATTTTATTATTTTGTGTCATAGAAATGATCAAAAAAGTTGTAATCAAAATTATAACTTTGTCGTATTTAAACATATTTTCAATAATTTCGAGATATGAAAACATAAATATTTCTAAATTACGAAAATTTCCTTAATAGGGTGTTCCCACAAAGCTTACATATTCATTCTCCATCCGTTGAAAATTTGAAAATAGTTATAATTTGACCATTCACTACGAAAATGTAAACAAAATGGCGAGGAAGAATTTAAATAAACTAGGATCACCACAAAGTCGTTGGTGTTTTCCTGTATATTCTGCCCCAAATTACCCCATTTGCTACTATTTTATATAAAACGCCCAATTCTACTTTATTGTACGTATAGCTTTTGGAAGCCTATACCACCAAGCAGACTCTTCGGGGCATTTGCTCTTGATTAGAGAAAAATTACTGAAGAGTCAAATTCCTTGTCATCTAATTCTTAATCTAACGCAATCCTGTGGTTTTGCTATTGTTGAACAGCCAAAATAGTTGATAATATCTCTCTGGTTGGTTGTGTACGGTCCCCTCAATATGCAAAGTATCAAGCCCTTATTGATCGATCAGCTGTAATCGACTGTCGGATGCAGATGTAGCTCTGTGGTAACACGAGTTTTATATCTGCAAAAAATTCAAACTGTTCCAGGCAGATGCACTGAGTGGGAAGAAAGTATTAAAGGTCCAGGGAAAACTTAATACTGCATAATGTTCTTTAGAATTGATGTAACGTTCATATTATTTTTATCGTTGTCGTTGTCCATTGGGTATATGTAAATTTCGACTTACCGAAGTAAGCTTCCTTTCTTGTTTCCGAATTAACTTACCCACAAAAAGCAAGCCAAATATGACGACCAACTGATACAAAGCCTGACCCAATATATTCTTCATCATTGTGCGTGAAATCAAGGGCTTTGTGCGACCATAAGGCTTGCGTAATAATAAATCTGGTGTTGGTGGTTCGGTGGCAAGGGCCAAAGAGGCTAATGTATCCATGATGAGATTAACCCACAACATTTGTACCGCCTGGAAAATAAAATTAAGTCAACGTTTTAAAAATTATCAAAGAATATATCATACCTTAAGTGGTGAATCCTGCACAGCGCACGCACCGATAAATACAACAATAACAGCAACTACATTCACCGTCAACTGGAACTGCAGAAATTTTGCAATCGAATCATACACATTACGACCCCACATAACAGCCTTGACAATGCTGCTGAAATTGTCATCAGTCAAGATGATGTCGGAGGCTTCCTTGGCTACATCGGTGCCGGCGATGCCCATTGCAAAGCCAACATCGGCTTTTTTCAGTGCAGGTCCATCATTTGTACCATCGCCAGTTACTGCCACGACTTCACGATTTTCACTAACTGTGCTGTCAATGATTCCTGTTCAAAAAATAAAAAGTAATACATATTATTTTGGGAATAAATCTAAGAAACTATAGAGCTCGGTAAATAATTAAATATTTTGTTGTCACTGTTGTCCAATATTTCAAAAATGTCATACATTTTTTAACGGAGTGATAAAGTATTAATGTGTGGTCGTTTTCCAGATTTTAAAAGGGAAAACAGAAACGGGAAAAGAAATTAGGAAAGCATACGTTTTTATAGCCACACAATGTGTAAATGGATCATTGCGAATCGTTTATTAAGGTCAAATTAAAAAAAAATATAATAAATAAATAATATGCACTCATTTGTGTGTAATAATATCAAAGGTTCGGCTTTTTTTTTTGGAGGCTCATATAAATTTAATGATAATTTGTTGTTCATTAAATTTTAAACAATATTTTTATATCGTATAATATAACTATATCACAGGATTTATGTATAGATATATGTGGAGCAACAACAGAGTTATATTAACATTTATTACTGTTCACGCCAGAAAGGCGCTTAATTTCGGGAGGCAGTGCGCTCTCTCTTTCTCTCCCTCTCCCTCCGGACTTCCAGTCCAAAGCTGCCTCCGCTTGCGCTCTCGCTCTCCAAGCTGATGCTTCGGCCGCTCGCGCACTCCTATTTTGATCTCCCGCTTGTAATTAGTTCTAAACCTGAAGCCAAATAAAGCGGACCAAGTCCATGCTATTTTATATATCGAAATCGAAGTCGACTCCAAGTGCGAGTTTTCCTGAATTTTCCATTTTTCCACTTTCTACAATTCGTACAATTTTCAATCCGTCTCCGTTTTGAACGTCGCCATATTCTTCTTATTCCGCTTTCCTTTGTACATATTTGCATTTATCCGTACATCAATGTACAAAACGGTTCCTACATAAGAATAAAAATTCATACATATGTACATACATATCAGCTTCGTGGTTTAACTGTCTTTACATAAAAACATCGATTTTTATTTCGCACAATAAAAAATAAAATTCCAATAATAAAAATTTATTAACAATCCAATACAGTCCGCTGCCTACGAATAGCTATCCAGTGCTATAATAAATCCATATACTTATATTATATTTTCTCCATGTAAACATACATGTACATACATATATATTACATATTATATTTTCTCCCCCAGACAAAAACCATTACATACATTTAAAATCAAAAAATATAATAAATAAAGAATAGATTATTGCAAAAACTTGTAAGCCAGTGTCCGTATTTTTGTGCATTTCATTGTTGCGCCTTACATAGTTCCGCTGCCGCCGCGACATATAATTGTCATCTACATACATACATACACACATAACCAAGAACTTTTACATTGCCGGCAGCGCATCCCAACGAACATTACGTTGAGAAGAAAAGTGTCAGGTGTTCCAATCCCACCATTCCGATTTAATTATTTTTTCTTTACAATTAACATATTTTTTTTAAAATTAATTAATAATTAATCAATCACTTAATCACAAATACTTTTAAAGTTTTTGCACTCGATTAAATATCCGCAATTGTCAAGGGTACTCTATCTATATATTTTTTTGCATTTATTGGGTTATTATTAAATACGAAAATAATAAACAACTTGGCATTTCCGTCCAGCAATTAGTTATTTGGTCAAATAAATTTAAATTCTCGTCGCATTTGCTCCAATTAATATTGGTTCCACTACATATAATTTCGATTCTCGTCGCTTCTACTTCAAGTAAATTTTTTCCACTGTATTTACTTGCAATTCTGAGATTGAATATTTCCACCATCTACCATCTACCATCCGAATTCTACGGCATATTCTTGCAATCCATATTTGTTTCGATTTTACCGTCTCACATTGCTACTCCTTCGATTTAGTTGACGATACTGGGAGCAAATAATTCTACCATCCGAATTCTACAGCATATTCTTGCGAACATCCTTTATTTTGAGAATTCTGCTCAATTCAGCAGCTTCATTCACCTACTTAGTTGGTCACTCCTGCCTACTCCCAAAGGAATATAAATATGTCAGAAGGACAAAAGTCAATTCCCCAAGACGCAAGTCAGAAGAGGGAGATATCCAGAGCCAACGGCCCTATAGATGTTGCTATGCTTGAATTTATAGCAACTAGCAACCGTCTCATCCAATTTGAAAACCAGATTTTTGCGGCATCCACTTCCAAGCCCAATTCATTCACATTAAAGATCCGTCGAGATCAGATCCAGTCCTTATGGGAAAAGGTTGAACGGGAGTATGAGACCGTTTCCAGAGCAGCTCTTCACGAGGGAAGTAGCGGAAATCTTCCGCTACTTCAAAATAAACTACGAACACTATTATGCGGTGTACGAAAGATGTGCTTCCAAGCTGAGCGAAGACATTGACCGTGTGTCCGTCTCCAATTCACAGGCAAGAGCAGCTCCGCCACCAGAGACATTCTCGAGGGGCTGCGATCTTCCGCCATGCGATACAGGAATCTTCGACGGAGATTATCTGCGCTGGCCCACATTTCGTGATCTGTTTACGGCCATGTACGTGAACAATTCCAACCTCACTCCAGTGGAAAAGCTTTTCCACCTTAACGCCAAAACTAGCGGCGAAGCTCACGCCATTGTTTCGAAATCTCCACTGACCAATGATGGCTTCCAATCCGCGTGGTCAGCGCTTCACGATCGTTTCGAAAATAAACGCGCGTTAGTAAACAATCAACTTAAGAAATTATTTAACATGGCGTCCATTGAACGCGAATCCTCGGCAGCCTTGAAGGAGCTGCAAAGTACAATCCAAAATTGTCTAACATCGCTGAGAATTTCCGGCCTTTCTACTGAGAATTGGGATTGCCTCCTTGTTTATTTGTGCTCCACAAAACTTCCAAAGCTGACGCTTTCATTATGGGAGCAATCCATCGAACAAAAAACCGAAATTCCTACGTGGCCGGAACTTGATTCATTCCTAACAGAGCGCTATAGAACTCTGGAAGCCATAGATTTTATCCAGCCTACTAAACCGACAATCTCCAACCCATCGCCACGAGTACTACAATCCTTTAGTACGAGGATTTTTCATACGTCCAAAATATGCGATTTGTGTTCTGCAGAGAACCATCCAGTGCGTTTGTGTCCACGCTTCCTTCAGATGACGATAGTCGATCGATCATCTTATATCCAGAAAAAGCAGTTGTGCTCAAATTGCTTTGCAAGCGGTCATCCACTCCGTAATTGCACAAGCGCCCACAACTGTCTTACGTGCCACGGTCGACATCACACTTTGTTGCATCCAAGCGACTCATCTTCCAGTGTTCCGATTCCTCGTGATGACACCCGACAAATATCTCCACCTATCCAGCGGATTTCGTCGTTCTCTACACGAGTGACCAATGCCGCCGACTCCTTCAACTACTGGGGTTCCATACAACGACAACAAAAGCAGTCGTTCCCGAGGTATTTCATCCTACCAATGCCGAGTCTGTCAAGGGAACCATCCTCTTCGGAAGTGCCACCGTTTTCTTCGACTTGATGCAAAGAAACGGCTCCAGGCAGTCATCGACAGGAAATACTGCGTCAACTGCTTGGCCCACCACCATTCTGGAGGATCTTGCCGTAGTAACGACCGATGCCAGTCGTGTGGACAGGATCATCACACACTTCTACATGCCGACGACCGCTCAGCGAATCCAACACTTTCCCGAGCGCAAGACTTCTAATATTTTGCTGCGTATCCTCGCAAGGGGGGGAGAATGTTCACGCCAGAAAGGCGCTTAATTTCGGGAGGCAGTGCGCTCTCTCTTTCTCTCCCTCTCCCTCCGGACTTCCAGTCCAAAGCTCCTCCGCTTGCGCTCTCGCTCTCCAAGCTGATGCTTCGGCCGCTCGCGCACTCCTATTTTGATCTCCCGCTTGTAATTAGTTCTAAACCTGAAGCCAAATAAAGCGGACCAAGTCCATGCTATTTTATATATCGAAATCACCCCCCCCCCCCCCGGCCTATTTCTTTTTGTCTTGTGGTGGTTGATCGTTTTTCTACTGGACCTTCGACGGCGTCGCTGGATGATTGGTGCCTACTCTGCGGAAGCTAACTGAGACAGTTCCCCCCAGCCGAACAATTACATTTGCCGAAACATTTTTAATATTAAAAGCTCCGTTGGCATCGAAAAGTCTTTTTTAATTTTACGATCGTTGCTTTGGAAGCTAAGATACAGTGGTCCGATTCTCCCTTCCGGCGTTGCAAAATTTTAAACAAAATTATAATACCCTGCAAGGGTATAACAATTAGATCGATTATTTTTATTTTTGCCCCTTTTTTTTTAAAAAAAACTTTAATGATTTTGATAGTAACCACCTTTTGGCATTTAACCACATATATATCTAAAAATTCGCTTTCTGAAGATATTAGCAACATAACTGTTCCGGATAACTAATTTTGTTTTAATTTTAATTGTATAAAGTACAGCACTAACCTTTCACCAAAGTATATTTGTCCGTGGGCGATGAACGTGCCAAGACACGCAACCTGGGCCAGACCTTATCAATCAAATGCTGTTGAATCTGCATAAAGAATATTATATAAAAATATTAATTCATTATATATCACATATTAATATATAAATAACTAACATCTCCATTGCTATCTCTTATCCGGCGATTAAATTCCTTCCCTTCGAGTACGAGGAAATCATCGTTTGGACGCAAAATACCACATTTAATGGCGATCGAGCGTGCCGTATTTACATTATCACCCGTCACCATCCGCACCGTAATGCCGGCTCTTTGGCACTTTCTGATGGCATCAGGGACCTCGGGACGTACTGGATCTTCAATGCCAACCACACAGAGGCAAGTCAGGTTTGTCATTATGTTCACCTCATCGTCCCAATTGGGTTCACCATCGATGTGAACTTCGTTTACGGCCGCTTTGCCCGGTACAAAGTCTCGATAGGCTACCGAAATGGTGCGCAGGCCATCACATGCCATAGGTTCGATCACTTCACGAATTAAACGCTCCTGCATATCGGGAGTGAACTTCTCTAGGGTTCCCTCGTGGCCATAGATAAAAGAGCATCTATTATAAACAATTAAATTATTTTATATATAATATTTATGATAATTTTACATTAAAAAATATTTTAAGCATAACATAATATAATTTTTTTTTACATACATTGTTTTAATGTGCATTAAAATGTAGTATTATTTTAATATTTATTACTAGAGGACCCGGCGAACTTTATCTCGCCCCAACTTCGACTGATTAAAACAAATTAAATTGAGACGTTTTTACTTTGACGTACATGTCCACACAGTACTGTTGAAACAAACGGCGGTATCTTAACAGATGATTGTCAACATCTAGTCGAATCATCAATCGATACGCATAAAAATTCATAGAGTTGACCTTCTTATTCGTTTCTTCTCCTAGAACTTGAATTCAAACTTAGTTGTAGAATCAAAAAGAAGTGATGACTTGTAAACAAACCTGAAGTTAGGTTGACCATCTTTATGTTGAAGTGATACCCATCTTCTCCACGACAGAACATCAACGGGTATTGAAGAGCTTAAAAACAATATCGCGTGATTCAACATTCTCGCCAACAATCACCACTACGACTTCATTGATAGTGGAAGCATTAAATTGTCTTGCATGGCTACCAATGGGTTTTTTGTCAGCGCTGATAATAATTTTGTGTTCGTCATAATGCATTATATCCAATGCGGTTTTAAACAATCTGACCAATTCATTATGCTCATGGAGAAGATTTTGCACTTGTTCGATAATTTTACGTTTAGTAGCGGTGAATTACCAATGAATTAGATCTGAAGGAATTTAAGGTCTTTGTTTTGTGGTGAATGGTGTGGTGCCCTTGAATCTGAATGTTGGAATGCAATTTCGAAAAAATGTGAGTTGTTCATTTTGATAATAAAGAGGCGCCATTACCTTATAACTTGGATTGTAGCCTGATTGATGAAAAACCTCGACTCCAAATGACGTAATTGGAAAGCATCCGTTATATTTTTGTGCAAGCTTTAGGAAACTGTTTGATTGGGCTGAATTTCCATATAGTAGCGAATACAATGGCTCTGGTGGATGAGCAAAAACGGGCACTTTATTTTTGCCACCTGCACAGCATAAGCCGGGTGTTTCCAACCGAAACTTCAGTGCATTGCAATGCTGACATACGACAGACAATGAACCAATAACAACGCAGGTAAGATCCTTGTAGGATGTTTCAGGATTGTATGCGAATGCAGCGCGATTCAAGTTTTCATTTGCGGCTCGTCTTTCTCTATTATTTTGTCGGGCTTGAGGTGATCTTTGTGGAGCGCGAAGCTGTGCCATTTGGGCACGTATTGATGCATTTATTTCTGTACGTTTCTCTTGCGTCCGACTATTACGGGAATTCTGAATACTTATTGCATTGCGTAAACGCCGTCCAAGTCTTGATCGTCTAACAGCAGGCATTACTTCCAATTGGTAATGCTTCGTTAGCTCCATTTTTTTGTTTAAATATTTTTTTACCGAGTTCATTGATACACAATTTCAACGCAGCTATGATCTTTGTAGGGTGTTTCAGAATTTTACATACAACAGTGTGTCCATCTGTTGAGCCGCTAGCGACCTTTCCGGAAGGACTTCCCAAAAATTTCTTATTTAATAGCCTTCTTCTGGCAATTACAAACAACTGAAAAAAATTTGAGCCAAATCGGCCCAGCCGTTCTCTTGTGAAACAATTTTGCGTATTCTCTTCATTCTCCACGTCTTCGTTGATCTCGGCAACAACACTTTCATAGGCTTCACCGTTATCTCGCTTGTCCGAATGTAAATTGTTGTTGGATCACCGAAAAAAGTAAATCGCGAAAAATCAGTTGTATTTTGCGTTGCGGGCAAGATGTTTGATATTGCAGAATCTAATTTTTTATTTTGTAAAAATTGCTATGGTGAGCCCCAATGCATTGTTAAAATGTATTTTCATGTATTTTTATTACTTCCGATATCTTAATTTGAATTTACTTTCATTTTTTTCAGTGCAGAAATTTGAAGTAAAAAAAAACTTTTGCGTAAATGTATTTGTGTTTTCATTTATATGTATTGGTGCGTTGCTCTGCCATAAGCAACGTTTGGGCACCCCTGTTATACAGCGGTAATAAATTACAAATTGACTCTCCATTTTATTTAGAAAACGTTTGTATGGGAAATAGAAAAATACTGTTTTGAGGATTTTCCCGGCAATTATTCGAATTTTTCTCACCTTTTAAACCTTCCCTAGACCTCCACGAATAATTCAAGACCAAGATAAGATAAATCCGTTCAGCCATTCTCGAGTTTTAGCGAGACTAATGAACAGCAATTGATTTTTATATATATAGAAGAGAAGATAGAAGATAGAAGATATAGAAGATAGAAGATAGAAGATAGAAGATTATTATCATCGTATATAAATATTAAAATAAATATACAACTGTTGTATTTGGGCACTACTATTTTAAATAATATTAAAAAAATAATACAAACTTTTTCATAATAATCTCCGATGCTCCTTTGGTATATAACCGATAACCGCCGTTGGGTCGCGGGATAACCGTACCCATGCTTTTTCGGACTGAATTGAAAGTATAAACGCGGGTGAACTTATCCTCCGGAATCTCATCACGAATCGATTGATACTTAACACCGAGTGCCTGAACAAAACCCAAGAGAGCACACTCAGTTTTGTTGCCAACTTGAATGGGCAAGTCGCCGGGGTTTTTGCCTGCCTATTTTAAAGTATAAGATTAATATATATAATAACAATGTAAAATAATTGAAAATAATATTTTAAAATATATACCATAATATTGGAAGTGTAGGCAGAGTTCACAGATATTCCCATTGTTATCAAATTTCCCACATGCTGCGGTATATCGTTTAAAGTTGGCAATACTTTGCACAGTTTCTCACAAATGTACGATTGAACGACAGTCATTCGATTTGTGGTTAAAGTTCCAGTTTTATCTGAACATATGGCAGTGGCATTGCCCATCGTTTCACAGGCATCCAGATGACGAACCAAGTTATTATCTTTCATCATTTTCTAGAAAATAAAACAGAAAATGATATTTATTAATAATCTATCTTTATACCCTTGCAGGGTATTATAATTTCAGTCAGAAGTTTGTAACTAGTCCCTCAGTTTTAAAGCTATATGAATGAAACTTTGCATATAGTCTTCTGAAAACTCTCACTGCTATATAGTCGGAAAGGGCCGAATCTGACGATTATATCATATAGCTGCCATAGAAATGATCGACAAATTAAAGAAAAAAAATTATAACTTGGCTGTTTTTCAACATATTTTTATCATTATTGTCATCATCATAGTCATTTTTTATTATCTCCGAAATTCGGTTTTAATATAATGAAAATCGGACCGGAATTGAAGTGTAATTATTCCCTGTATTTATATAAGAAAAAAGAATTCGCCATGTGGAAAGGTTCCAAAGTAATTGTTTCGCATATTTTTAAATAAATAACTCTTATTTGCGATCCATGTTTTAAACCCTCTAAACAAAAATGTATTATTTATTAAAAAAAAAAAAATTCCAACTACATATATTTAAAAAATATTAATATATTACAAAATCATGCGAATCAGAAGATTTCCCCTTAATTACGTATATGATAACGAAATAAACTTACCTTAACAGAGTAAGCTAGTGAAAGCGTCACTGCTAGAGGCAATCCCTCTGGCACAGCCACTACCAATACAGTAACACCAATTATTAAATGCTTCACCAGATTATTAGCATACGTATTCTTCCACGGCTTCTCATCAATTACAAAAGTTTTAAAGCAAAATTGAATAATCAGTATAATAACTGTGAGTACAGCAATTGTTGATCCAGCATAACCGATTTGTATTGCCAATTTGGTTAGCTTTGCCTGAAGCACCGATTTCTCCTTTTTATGGCCAGTTTCGGGCGCAGCTGCTGTGGCTGAGGATGATGATTGGGGGACATGATTGCCCTCCGATTCCGATGACTTAGTTCCTTCGCTATGAACCGCTTGATGTTGAGTTTGGGGTGGGGGTTGACTCCCTTTTCCACTCTCACCTGTTTTAGGATATATGAATGTGTTACATAAATATTCCACCATATTAATATTTATCTATAAATATAAACGGTTGCATTTTTTGTATGTATTTTTTAGGTTTATAAAAATATAATATATGTAATAAATAATTATAAATAAGAATATATATTAAATGGAGCTATTGATTCACCTGTCAGACTCTTTTGCTTGATGGCCTTTTTAGCTTCTGAATATTTCATTTTAATTTATATATTTGGTTTGGTTCAATTTTAAATTTATGTCGATATTTGTTTAAATTTTGATATTTGGTTGGAGTTTGTGGTTGAGGTTGAGAGGTTGATTCCCAGGTATTTATTTATATCGGTTGATTGATTTGGGTGGATGATGTAGGGTATATGATGGGTCAATCAATTCACATCATGCATGGAATATATGAAAAAAAGAACAAAAACACAATAAAAAAGGCACAATGAATAATAAATAATTATTTAACTTTGATCAGAGGAATGTATGGCTCTTAGATAAAAGTTTATCTAAGAATATGGTATAAATAGTATGCAGTTTATTATATATTTCTAAAATATTTTAATATTTGAAATTTGTATTATTTGAATTAGATATTTTGTAAAATTGATGTTTTATTATTATTTTTATTAAATATTTAGTAATAAAATTTGTCATTGGATATTATTTTTTCTTACTTTAAGCCTTTGTTATAAACTTACTTGTATCTACTTGATTTTTTTTACATACTCCTACCTTTTTTCATTTTTTTAATTTCCGCTTCCTGTTCATCAACAGCCGCGCCAAGAAGTGTAAATATAATTCCAGCCTGAGAGTTGACACCAACGGCTGTGACGATCATTTTTCCGCTGCCTTCCATAACATGTGTTCCGGAGAGCACCATGGGATCAACGTCAGTACCCTTTTTAACATGATCAGATTCGCTAGTTAAGGATGATTCGTCAACCTGCAGAAAACAATGAATAAGTTGTTAAGAAAAATATATTGCTAAGTTTTTACTCTATGGGCATTCCTATTCTGTCGAATTTGACATCTGTACGCATTCAATAAGTAAAAAAACCGATGTTACATTCTTTGTTATTTTTATAAATGTTGACACAAAGCTCTTGCCTATAGCTATAATTGAACTTTTAACATTTAAACATTTGATCGAATTCAAGAAATTAAACTAAAAAAAAAACAAAAAATTTGCACGTGACGAATACAGATTTTACTTTCGACGCGAACGGTTTAAAAACACATTTTAGCGAAACGCCAAAAATTATTTTAATGAATCAAAATTTAGATTGTCATTTCCCATATTAAACTTTTATTATATAACCAATTTGTACCTTTAAGTCATTGCTTTGAATAAGGCAGCCGTCGGCAGGCAACAGGTCTCCATATTTAATCTGAGCTATGTCACCAACGAGGATGTCACCAACAGAAATCTGACAGACTTCGCCTCCTCTAATAACGGAAAATTTGTGCTCGCCTTCGATGCGACTTTGAAGACCACGGAATTGCCTCTCCTTGGAGTAATCATTAAAGGCTGTTACAATCACAACGACGATAACAGAGATAAGGATGGCCAATCCTTCAATCCAACCATGATGCTCCTCCTCCTCTTGCAGTAAAGCTGCAATAATATTTTAAACGGATATTTTATATTTGGTTAAATGTTATTATATTATTGTCTTGAACTTACGCGCATCTTCATCGGCTGGCTTATAAAATGATAGGCCAAGCGATACTAAGGCAGCAACCTCTAAAATAATAAGGGTTACATCCTGTAGGGCTTCCCAAACAAGTGTCAAAAAAGTTTTTGGTGGCTTTGGTGGTATTATATTTGAACCGAATGTCTCCCGCCTGTGCTCTTCGTCAGCCTTCGAGCCACTTAGACCTGATTATAATATTATGTAATAAAAAATGTTAAATTATACAATGGAAAGAGGACCTACCCTCATTTGGTGATGTGTATAGCTTTTTACATAGTTCGTGAATACCACCAAATTCTCCTATCTTTGCTACACCTTCTCGGCCACGATGCTCCATGAGCTCGCGCAATTGCTTAAGGGACATACCATATTGCGCTGGTCTTCCGTCTATGGTGGCCATTGGTTGTAATTGCCTAATCTGTCAATATAATATATTATATATTAAATAATAAATTAAGAGGAGTGCTTGTTAATAAGACCTAGAGCCGAGAATAAATTATCCGTATTGTGCAACATCAACAAAGAAATAAAGGTAACCCTTGCAGTTGGCAATTGGATCCTTAAGAATCGATCCATTCTGGTCAAATTAATATATAAAATAAATTAATATATATATTAAAGTTGTATATTTACACATAGCATATGTACAATAATTTGGTTTTGAAAAAAATAAAAGTAAACAAGAAAGGAAGCTAACTTCGGCACGCTGAAGTTTGTATACCCTTGCAGATTGGTTTTCATATTTATATTATAAATTATAATGCCGAAAACAGACACTAAACAGAGTTTAAAAACATTTTACCTATACTTATTACGTTTACAGTTTGACAGTTACAGTTTTACATTCCCAGCTTTACATATTTTGTACAATTACCGATCGCTTCTATGGCAGCTATATGATATATTTGTCCGATTTTTAAGAAATTTTTACCAAAGTTCTAGAACAATAAAAAAAGACTATATCTCAGAGTAGATAAAAATACGTTGAAAAACAACGAAGCTTTAATTTTGTTCCTATTAATTTCCCGATCGTTCCTATGGCAGCTATATCATATAGTCGTCCGATTTTCATAAAATTTTTACCATAATTCAGAAATAATATAAAATGGCCATATCTAAAAAATGGTGCAAAAATATTGAAAAACAGCAAAGTTATAATTTTTTTCTAAAAATTTATCGAACATTTGTATGGCAGCTATATGATATAGTCGTCCGATCCGACCCGTTCCGACATATACACATATGAACAAAATAATAGGTGTCCGTTTTTTTTTTTTTTTTAACGTTTAATTTCTAATTTATTTCTTTATAAATCTTAACATATTATGTTTTTTTCATAGCTCATAATATTTGTCTACATTTAAAAACTAAAAACAGATTTACAAACTCTCTAATAAAAAAGAAAAACCATTTTATAGTTAAATTTAGAAATTAGAAAATGGACAAAATAATAGGTGTAGGACGATTAATTTTCAAATTATATCGATTTTTCAATCAATTTGGTCCTGTTTCAGTTTTAAATCACTAATTGGCAGTCAATAATTGGTATATCCGCCATTATTTTTTAGAACTTTCTCCATTCGTCTTGGCATGGACAATATTAACTTGCGACAAGTTTCAACTAGGATGTTGTACCAAGTTTTTTGGACAATATCCTTAAGTTGAGCGATATTTTGGCAAAAGGTCCTTCCAACTTCTCTTTTAAGTTCACCCCAGAGATTCTCAATGGGATTGAGATCCGGGGATTGACTTGGCCACTCAGGAACATCCACCTTTTGCTCCCGGAACCAATCCTTTACAACTCGCGATGAGTGTTTCGGGTCATTATCCTGTTGGAACTTCCATAAAAGTGGCATATTATCCTCGGAATATGGTAGCATTACATCAAACCTACCAGGTAGGATTGCCCGAAGGGTTCCTTTGCTCCGGACGGCAAATTTACAGATGAGGCAAAAGTTTGCATTAGATCATAAGACCTGATGCGGCCCGCAGGGTGAGAAAAAAAGGCGTAATATCCTTTGGAGTGACGAAACCAAAATTAATTAGTTTGGTAATGACGCTGAAAGGAATGTTCGTCGTCCTAAAGGCAAAAAATTTGACGCCAGGTACACATGTAAAACCGTGAAACATGGAGGTGGTAGCTTAATGGTATGAGGCTGCTTTTCTTGGGATGGTATTGGTCCGATACATCGAATCGACGGAATCATGGATAGATTCGTTTATAAAAACTTATTGGAGACAGTAATGCTACCATATGCCGAGGATAATATGCCACTTTTATGGAAGTTCCAACAGGATAATGACCCGAAACACTCATCAAGTTTGAAGTCTCATTACTCTTTGAACAACCCTCGTATCGAGGCAAAAACAACTTTTTTAGTTACTTTGAACATTTTTGAATACAATAAATACAAAAAGTTTTCAATTATTCTTTGCGTTTTCAAATAAGAATTTTTTTAAAAAGGGTCAAAAAAACGGGTTTTGAATGAGAAGACCCCCTTAAAACTGAGGGACTAGTTTGCGTAGAAACGGACAGACGGACGGACAGACGGACATGGCTAGATCGACTCGGCTGTTGATTCTGATCAAGAATATATATACTTTATAGGGTCGGAAACGTCTACTTCACTGCGTTGCAAACTTCTGACTAAAATTATAATACCCGGCAAGGGTATAAAAATTGGTAGAAGTAAAAAAAAAGGCACGGTAATGGGAATGGTGGAGGACTCTGCTTTAATACACTTCTTGGTTTCTCTTGAAGGCAGAAACAACCATAAAACAAGCAATTAAAATAAAAATGTAGAATAAGTATTTATTGAAAATGTAGGCCCACCGCTTGCCTAATGCCTTCAGCACTTTCGCTTGCATTTCATAAAGAAGTTTCTTGATCAGGCTTTCCTTTTGCACATAATCATCCACTCAAATATATCTTGCACACTTTTGCTCTGGATACGGCAAAGAGATTTTAGTGCGGCTTTACGCAGAGGATCCCAGGGCAATCCCAATTATAAGTTTTCTTACAAGAGTCCAAACGCTACGATAAGCCCTAAATTTTGCACCTCCTCGAAGGACCCTGGGCGTCATCACCGCCACATCCATCATCATGGTATTTTTATATTCCTCTATTGCTAATAATATCAGGATTTCATTGTTGTTCAATTTGCTCATTTTCGTAATTTTTGTTTATTTTGAATAAAATAATAAGGCAGTATAAACCCGATTCTGCGTTAACTTTCGATATCGATAGGAAACTCAGGTCGGTGTAAATATACCATTAAAGTTTCAAGAAAATAATTATGGCATTGGTATTGCATTAGCTAAAAAAATCGATAGATCTACAAAGTAAAAAGTCAATGTCGACACGTTAATAAATTTGACCAATTGAAAAGGAACATCTTGAAGTCAAAAATTAAACTAAAGGAAAATACATATAGCATAAGGAAAATACACAAAGAATAAGATATAGAAGATAGAAGGGAAAAATGTATTTACGAACCACAGCCTAGTGATGCAAGTTCGACAAAAAACATCGATGTCGATGCCCGTCGATATTTTCAAAATAGACCATCGATGTATATACTTAGCAAACAGACCTTCAGGTCTGTTGATGAAATGTTGATGAATTGCTGTTGATGACAGCCTAGGACATGCCCATGTTAAATTCATCAACAGTTTGTATGGCAATTCATCTGATTCATTAAGGGGGGGGTGGTAAGGTATTTAATTTTTTTTTTCGTAAATTTTTTATTTTTTATTTTTAAAGTTCAACATCTTAAGAATATTGTGTCCAAGTTTTACATCGATCAGAGTGAAATTGACGAAGTTATGCGAAGTTGAACGAAGGTCGGTTGGTGTTAAATGCATGAGAATCACAAAGTTTAAAGCGCTCTCCTGAAAAATTCAATTTTTCAAATAGGTGTACACTATAACAGAAAAACTACTGGACCGATCGATTTGAAATTTGGCACACACATTCTTTAACTAATTCCTCAGGTATTCACGTCGGCCTTTTTTTAATTTTTAATTTTTATATATTTTTAAATTAAGAAATAGCGTTATTTTTTTTAGTCAAAAATCGGGTTTTTGACTTTCAAATTTCCTAAAAACTAACAAAAAAAACTCTTCCTGAATCCCTCGGGACACTTATCCTTTAAGGAATGAGGTATAATTTTTTTAGATCGGATGATCCTGTGGACTGTTAGGATGTACACCGCAAAACAACTTTTTTTGGAGGCGACTCGGGAGATTCCCTATATCTTCTGTACCTCTAAATATTTTTCAATACAAAATGTATCAAAAATTATTCAAATGTTGTGTTATTATATGGTATTTAATTCATTAAGCTAACTGTATATATTAATTGGCTTACTTGCATTAATAAAATTGTATAATTAATTAAAATACTTATCATATACTTACACTTGGGGAAGACCTTTGCTATATATTACCTTAAATGACCAGAGTTGGCCAAATCTTTTAATACGACAAAGTTTAATGTTTGTTATTTATACATATTTACACTAACGTTGATTGTTGTGGTTCAATTCTTTGAGAAAGACTGCGTCAGACCATAATATATTTGTTTAATTATACATAAATTCTAAAATACTGAATTATAGTGTACTATTTTTTTTAATTTAACATATACAGTAAAAGCAATACATATCAATTTTTAATTTAACATAAACAATTAAATACAAGTTATAAATACAGATTGGAATTTTGCCTTATTTCATATTTTTAAGTATTAATTAAGTTAAAATATCCAAAAAGTTACGTAATTTACCGAGTAGCAATTGTGTTTTTTAAGCGTAATAGCAAACATTTACTCACGATAATATTTTAGGTAATTTTCGAGTAGGCACTGAGGTTATTAAAATATGTTAAAAAGGACAAAATTATAATTTTTTTCTAAAAATTTATCGAACATTTGTATGGCAGCTATATGATATAGTCGTCCGATCCGTCCGTTCCCACATATATAGCAGTGAGAGTATATAGAAGACAATATGCTAAGTTTCATTCAGATAGCTTTAAAACTGAGGGACTAGTTTGCGTAGAAACGGACAGACGGACGGACGAACGGACGGACGATCGAACGGACGGAGGGACGGACATGGGTAGATCGACTCAGCTGTTGATGCTGTTCGAGAATATATATACTTTATAGGGTCGGAAACGTCTCCTTCACTGCGTTGCAAACTTCTGACTGAAATTATAAAGCCCTGCAAGGGTATAAATATATTTAATGCCTACTTACACGTACCACAAATGTATTTTTAAGCAAAAATAAAATTTACGACTAATATTTCAGTGCGACCATTATTGGAACTCCACAACATACCAAAATATTATTTTATACCAGGATTCCACTACTCAAACTTTCATTTACGTTTGTTGTGAGGCAAATCCTAGTTA